CAGTGAGGAACAGTGTGGTATTCAGATCGGTCTCTTCAGATCAAGGTTTTGTAACAGAGCTAGTATGTGTTCGTGCATTTATTTTCCTTGATCTCAAAGCTTAGATAAACCTGTGGGGATGGTGTCTTGCTCTCAGTCGGTCATTAGCAGCAGCAGTCGGCTCAGACTGATGAATCTGGGCATGCCAGCATTCCTGTGGCTGGCTGAGGACGACGACTGCTGAGACTTGTAGCCCATTAAGGGGATTGATACATGGACATTCTCAGTAGGAAGTGATGAGGTTGGCTAACCCTACGTGCGCACTGGTGTGAGGTGGGTGTAACATGAGTGAGTGATTCTAATTCATTCTGTATGGGAACGATAGGCTTGCTCAGGAGATTGTGGGATTGACAGCATCAAAAATTGGGAAATGCTGAACTTTATTGCATGTGAGAGGTGAAAAACAGCTGGTGGCAGCCAAAATCTGTATAAGATGAAGGGAAGCTAAGTTCCTGAGTGTTTCTGTTTGTTGCAAATAGTGCTGGGTTTTCTGTGTGCATATATTTGGGTCAATGACTATAAGAGTGATGCCTTCAATAAAGCACTGTTATTTTGCGTTTTTGAGATACTATTACAGTTTTAATTAATATTTTGGATTTGTTTTTATTTTAGATTTTTTGTTTTCATTTAAATACATTTTCAAGTACATTTCATTTAAATACATTTTCAAGTACATTTTAATATGGAATGATATTCCGGACAATATTCAAAAGGAATTGCAAATTGTATCCATGTCTGCGTTTTCAGAACTTTTGTGGTCAAAAACAACCAATTCCTTGGCTAAAGCTTCACAATTCCTTGATGCAGATATCCGTTCCAAACCACCGCTTTGGTTTGGCACAAGTTTCTTTTGAAAGACGCATGCATCTGTTTTTAAACCCTTGTGCGCTTCCTGCGAAATCCCCAATGAGTATCAGAGAAATATTACTCCCCAGGTGGGTGAGTTATACATCACATGTAATTGACAGTTTTCCACAGAAGGTCTTTTTGTGGTGTATGTTTGTTTGTGGGGGTGGCCTTACAAAGCTTTGTTCACTGTAGCCATTGTAAAGCACTAACTCACTGAGAGGTCCAATGGCATCCCGATTCCCTGGAGAATCCCCTACTTTCTCTACTTCCTCTTCCTGTACCCACTAAGCACACATACTCTGTCTCCCTGGAGCGCAATCATTCTGAGGGACCTGTCTGTTCACTCTCAAACAATAGAGACAGAAGCCTAAATGTGTTTGTGAGGGACTGACACAGAGAGAGAGAGAGGTTATGAGAGACAGTGTGATTTCCTGAATGAACAGCTGCAGATCTGCTCATCTTTAAGCCCTCAGAATATCATTCACTGCTGTACCTATAGATGACGGTGATCCATCTGCTGCGGCTGATGACATCATATGTCTTGTTCATCATTAAGACGCTTTCCATGGCGGAGGAACAGATGTTGAGTATGCAGATTAGACAACGCAAGCCTAAGACATATAGATGGTGCTTATTCAAACACTTATGCCCTTTGTCAGAATTGCAGTTTGAATGACTTTGCTTGTCATAATGATTAAAACAATAAAGCTTATTGGAGAATGGCTTGTGCTGGAGGCATATGTCTCACACAGGGGTACACGCTGACTGATAAACCATTTCTAGCTGGGGAAAATGGCTAAAGGAAATGCAGTGTGGCATTTCGAATCAGAGCAGGGTCCTGGCAGGGGGCTCGGCTGTGAAATATCACGACTGTTAGCATACAGGAGCGCTGCTAGCTGTACACACAGTGGGCTTTAGCCCTGTGATTTCCCCAGCTGATAGACTAGCTTCGTCTTCATTCAGAACCTCACACGGCTGGTCTTACAGTCTTTCATTTGTGTTTAGTTACTCAAACACATGAACAAATGGGAGGTTGGTTAGTCAGATAAAGCTTGCACGTGTGTTCAGGTGTGTGTGGCTTTGGTACATGAATAAATCATTTAAAAAAAAAAAATGTTGTGTGTGTTTGAGCAGCTCTGACATGTATGAGTTGGTAATTTGGAAGTTAGTTTTAGGGTGTTTAGGTCATCCACTCCTTAAACCCCTCTCTTTTTCCTCTCTTCCCAAAGACACACGGTCAGCGGTATTTTGCAGTCTTCACAGAAATTCGCAGAGTTGCTGAGTTGAGCATGTGTTTGTGAGTGCGTGACACTAATACTTTTAGAACCCGCAATCCCACAGTAAACAGAGATAAACTAGGCCTTGCTGACCCACACATACTCTGTCTTAGCTGGCCTTCTCAACCCTGTTCATCCTTTAATAATATTTCGTAATATTTACAGTTCTCATGGCTCCTGTCTATGTCTCTCATGTGGTGTCTGGTGGGACGGGGGGAATATTTTTTCTTTTTTTTTTTCTTCCATCTTCAAGTACATTGATAATGTTAGCCAAAAGGTATTACAAATGTAGTGGTAACACTTTACAATAAGGTTCCATTAGTTAATGTTAGTTAATGTATTATTTATTACAGTATTTATTAATTTTTGTTAATGTTAAGTTAATGAAAATAGTCGTTCATTGTTAGTGCATGCTAATTCACAGTGCTTTAACTGGTCACAAACTTTTGATTTTAATAATGCATTAGTAAATGTTGAAATTAACATTAGCTAAGATTAAAAAATGCTGTAGAAGTATTGTTCATACTTGGTTCATGTTAACTAAAGTAGTTAACTAATATTAACTAATGAACCTTATTGTAAAGTGTTACCAATGTAGTTTTACATGACCATTTACTATCCTCTCTCTTAATTAAACAGGCTGTTTTTGCTACTGTACCTTTAAGACTTCTATTTGTTTACATTGTAATGTATCTATGTAGTCAATTCAGTGTTATTGATATTGTATTTTACACAGTTTCAAAGCAGCTTTACAGAAAATCACAATGTTTGTGTTTGTTATCTTCATGCCTTATTGTCGCATTTAGCAGATTAGTCATGATTAATTAATTTAGCAGACTATTCATCAATATTCATCAATAATCAATCAGTTGAGATTTGCCATATACTATATATTGCTTTATGTAAGTATATGAATGCAGATAAAATTGGATGTACTATATATCTAACTTTAAAGGGGTCATATGATGCTGCTAAAAATAACATTATTTTGTGTATTTGGTGTAATGAAATGTGTTTGTGGTTTAAGGTAAAAAAAAAAACATTTTTTTCCACATACTGTACATTATTGTTTCTCCTCTATGCCCCGCCTTTCTGAAACGCGTCGATTTTTACAAAGCTCATCGGTCTGAAAAAGCGAGGTGTGCTGTGATTGGCCAGCTATCCAGTGCGTTGTGATTGGCCGAATACCTCAAGCGTGTGACGGAAATGTTACGCCCCTTACCATATTGTGATGATGCCCTGTCAGGCCGGAGCGATGATTCAAAAACATGAATACTCATTATAAACGAGGCATTCGTTGCATCCAGTGGGGACATAATTATGGATTATAATAACTTATACTGACTTTTTATGCGTTGCGTTGCATCACGCCGTGTAAACATAAAACGATGTCTGCATTTGTGATCAGAGAAATGACAAACAACAAGCCCTACTCTACACTGCCCAAAAAACTCACTTTAAATATATAAAATATAAAAACTCTTTAAATATAAAAAACGTACTTACAGTCTGTGAGTCAGAACAGCCGACATTGTAGTCTACTCTCCCAGGATCAGTAAACAGTCCTCCATAAAATACGCTGGACACATCTGAATATTTGGGTTGAAGTGTTCTGGAACAGTGTTGTAAATACAACTTAACCACTGATTTGTAGTCGTGTCCGTTTTTGGAAGGCCAAACAAAGTAGTTTTGCTTTCACAACGAATCACACAGTGCATTCACGACATGGCGGCAGCAACAACAACAATACTACAGCGAGAATAAAAGTTACACCTTCTTTCTTTGCGTAAACATTTGGGAGGTGTTATGCAAATCTTCCCACATCGTGACGTAGGTATGTGGGGGTGTGTTAGAACGAGCTGTTTTAGGCAGGCGTGGCTGACTCTTAACTTTTATAAAGAATATCTCTTTGGATTTGAGACTTTAGTCTTTGCAACTTTACAGATGATCTTTATGCACCAAGAGCTTGTAACACTCCAAAAAGAAAGGAAAAATTGAAATTGCATCATATGACCCCTTTAAATGTATCGCTGGACCAAAATATAGTTTACATTTTGCGACAATATAACCAATCATGTATAACAATCGTGAGTGTACTGTACTGCTATAAATTACCTTTTAGACTGGGAAGCGAGCTTTGTTTCGTGACCATTAGAGTATGATTACATGGTACATCAAACTATTATATATAAAAAGAGCAAGTAAAATCCTGTTTTTGAAGATATGTCCTATTGAACGTGCATCAGGATGCTTAGAGAAAGAGTAGGTTGTTTCACTTGTACCATTAAAACACTGTTAGACACTTTGGCGTTAACATCTCTCTCTCATTTTGTCTTTCTAGCAGACACTATGCCATTATATAGATCAAATACATACTTCTTTTAGACTTTATTAAACCCATTTCCTCCTTCGTTTACTCTCCTTCATTCTTCTTTGCAAAGGAAGCCTGTTCCCGTGGCGACATAAAAATAATTTTTACCACACAGATATAATAGTCATTTTTTCCCTTTTTATTAACATTCGTTTTAAAACAAACATTTGCTGAAGAGATGTACAGGTAATTTTAGCATCATTATGGAAAGAGAACAGACAAAGAGAAAAGAAAGGAAATGGGGGAAAAGTGGGAGGGAGAATGCAGCGGGGAGCTGAGTGTGTGGACTACATAATGGAGAATGGATTATGTTTCTAAATGACCCCATTGCCATCACAGGCAGAAAAGAGGCATGAAAAGGTTGAGCTATTCTCTGCTAAAATAGTGGGCTTTTTATGTTCGAATGGATTGACCTGCCTTCTTCCTCGTTTCATTATTTTCCGTCATTGTTGTTTTCCCATCAGAAAGAGGAGCAGGCCCGCTTGCTGCTGTCTGAGGAAGGGAAGGAGCAGCTGATGTTTGAGGTCCCTCTCAATGATTCAGGCTCAGCAGGGTTAGGGGTCAGCCTGAAGGGTAATAAGTCCCGTGAGACTGGCGAGGACCTGGGTATCTTCATCAAGTCCATCATCCACGGAGGTGCAGCTTTTAAGGTAACACATCATATTTACACACACACACACACACACACACTGTATATATGTGTACATATATAACAGTTTGTCCAATAAAATGTTCTCTGTGAAATACTCATCCTCCAATAATTAATAAATCCATCCCAACTTTCATTTCATTTTCTAAACAGACATGACACTTGTCAGACATAAAACTTGTAATTTCATGTGGTAGCAGTTGTAGTTCATGAATTGCCTGTTCACGGTTTCAAACTTACCACGTTTCAGTTAACAGCACAGATCTTTAACCACTAAACCATAACAACAAACTGTACAGTTGCCCCAAATTTATTTGGACGAGAAGCACAAAAATGTGTGAATATCATTACATACATAACCATTTGGTCCCAAATGTTTATTAACACTAAGCAGTTTTCACCATACTTTGATTTAGCATATTAGAATGATTTCTGAAAGATCATGTGACAATGAAGACTGGAGTAATAGCTGCTGAAATAAACACGGATTAATTCAAATTTTAAATATATTTAAAAGAAATTTTTTTTATTGTAATACTATTTCACAATATTATTGCTTTTTACTGTATTTTTGTTCAAATAAATGCAGCCTTGGTGAGCATAAGAGATTTTTTTTTCAAAAACATTTGAAAAATCTTTGAACCTGAGGGGGTTTTGTGTGGCTCAAGTGTCCAAATACTTTTTGGGGCCACCATAGCTTAAGAGGTCAGAGGAATGGCATCACTCGTAAAATGAAAGCCGTAATAAGACGTGTTAATAAGTAAAATATGTTTTTATAATGTTTTTTTCATGACAGAGACACTTATGAAGATCTATTAGATGTCCTCACAGGGTTAAACATGGCTTCAGGGATGTGAGTTGAGACTGTAGATAGGTCACGATCCTTGTTAGCTACTCTTGGCATGTGTTTTGGTTCCCTCGACCTCTGACCTCTGTCCCCTCCACTGAATGGGGTTTCATTTGACCTTAACAGATGGGATCAGGACTGTCAGCAGGGTGCAGAGTGGACTCTTCTTCAGTATTTCTATAGGCTCATCTTTCTGTCTTTCTGTCACATGGTATTGACGACAGATTGGGTGTTTGTGCCCATTTGGTTAAATAACATTAATCTCGATTAGATGGATTTTTGCAGATGTTCAAATGATTGGGAATCTGCACTCTGCGTTTTGTTTTTCCCTTTGCCACAGGATAAGTGACATGATGTCTATACATAAACGACTCAATGGGCTGCACAGATTTCCAGTCTTTGCTCAGCCAAGTGAAAATGTGCTTGTCAGACATGTGGATTTGTGTGTGTGCATCTGCCCAAAGCATTCGCATTCATTTGTGCGAGTGTGTGAAGTTTACTTGTGAAGATAAGGGTTTGATTTGCACCTGACAGAAGCATCTCCTCGCTCTGCATTGTCAGGCCTTTTGGTTGGAAAAGCTTCGGAGGTTGTGTAGCAAAAAAAGAACTTCTTAAATCTCTATCATTCTGAAGCTTCAGCAAGGTGATGCACATGAGTTCTCATACTTGAGTCCCAGCACAGTGGAACTCTGGGTAACACGTTTCTAATTCCCCATTCAGTCCCAAGTGAAAGAGTTCAGAAACGGTAGAGCACTGCCTGTGTTAGCTTCAGTGCATTAATGCTAATTAAAAACTCTCCAAGCCCATGTTAATGAGTTGGAAGCGTCCCGAGTCTGTGGGTGGGATGCGTCTTCTCCCCAGAGCCGAAGTGGGAAGGCAAGAAGAGGCTGGGGTGATCAGCAGCGTCTACTTGCAAAATTATTGTTAGCTTGCACTTACAAAACTGAGGGGAATGCCATGTTGCAGCAGTTATATTATGTACTGGACATGTCCTAGAGCATTTTATCTTCTTGTCCTTCTGTTTATCAGCACCATTGATTTGGCCATGGACCCATTTCAGCAGCTAAATTGTTTTCAAATTTGGTTAGTTTTAGGTTCATTATTATTATTACTTTTATTACACATTGACAAAAGCTTTGTTAATTTGTTAAAGTACAAAGTGAGGAGGTGAATCAATGTATTGTATGCATAAAGTATAAACAAAGTATGAACATGCAATAATATAATAAAAAATGAAGTTAAACAGTTGTTACATATGTAGTGAGCAGTTGTTGTTGTTAATTTGTATGCTAGCTTAGGTGAATACCTAATATATATACAGGTGCGTCTCAATAAATTAGAATGCCGTGGAAAAGTTAATTTATTTCAGTAATTCAACTCAAATTGTGAAACTTGTGTATTAAATAAATGCAATGCACACAGACTGAAGTAGTTTAAGTCTTTGGTTCTTTTAATTGTGATGATTTTGGCTCACATTTAACAAAAACCCACCAATTCACTATCTCAATAAATTAGAATATGGTGACATGCCAATCAGCTAATCAACTCAAAACACCTGCAAAGGTTTCCTGAGCCTTCAAAATGGTCTCTCAGTTTGGTTCACTAGGCTACACAATCATGGGGAAGACTGCTGATCTGACAGTTGTCCAGAAGACAATCATTGACACCCTTCACAAGGAGGGTAAGCCACAAACATTCATTGCCAAAGAAGCTGGCTGTTCACAGAGTGCTGTATGCACCTGTATATATATATATATATATATATATAATTTCAGCAATTCCGTGGGCTCAGATTGGTTATTTCTATGGGGGGTTTAGGCAATATACCATAAACGCTTTTTACCTACATGAATTGCCTCTGGTCTGGCATGAAGAACAGTGTGATCTGAATCAATACCCCCATTTCCTGCTCTTTATTCACCACCATTAGTTTCACCATAGACATAGAGGCATAAATGTCTCTGCAGTATTCAGAATAGTGGTTGAGGATTTTGATTTAAGGATTTAGAATTTGATGAAGTTTTGTTTTTAATGGCCAGTTCTTAAATTATTATTTTTGGTCTCTTCAGTACTAAATTGGTGGTTACAGTTTTCTCAACTCTACCATTGATGTACATTACAGACATGCACTATGTCTATGCACTATTCAATTCAATTAAATTCAAGTTTATTTGTATAGCGCTTTTCACTATACAAATCATTGCAAAGCAGCTTTACAGAAAATTAAGTTTCTACATATATTTTGTAGTAGCTTGTCAGTGGTGACTGTCAAATTGATGTACATATGGCAGAAATGTACGGTAAAATTCAGTTAATGACGTAATCAAACAGACGAAGAACACTATTAACGGCAATGATTATATGTTGCAGTCAAACTTGTTGCAACATTTGGTAGTTTATGTTGTTTCAGGGTTGGCATCATCTGAGGTCCTCTGAGGGGTTTGCATCATCTCTTCTCCGGTGTTCGGTCATCTCAGGTCTTTGTAAGGGCTGGATCCAGACGGAAGCTTGTGCAATTCCTAGGCAGAAACAGAGAAACAAATAGGGACATAATTAGCGTAGCTGCTGTTCCAACCAAGCAAAAATTATTTGTTCAACCCAAGCTAAGGAATAATAATGTGCATTTGATCAGATATAACTGCAGTGCAAAATTATGAGATGCATTATTTGAATGCTTGGCCAAAGAGATGGTGTCTTTAATCTAGATTTAAACAGAGAGAGTGTGTCTGAACCCCAAACTTTATCAGGAAGGCTATTCCAGAGTTTGGGAGCCAAATGCAAAAAAGCTCTATCCCCTTTAGTGGAGTTTTGCAACCTTAGGGAGCGTAATGGATTGTAGCTTGGTAGAAGACTAGTTAGATACGCAGGAGCTAAACCATTAAGGGCCTTGTATGTAAGTAATAATATTTTGTAACTCATATGGAACTTAATAGGTAGCCACTGCAGATACTGTAAAATTGGGGTAATATGATCATATTTTTTTTGACCTGGTAAGGACTCTAGCCACTGCATTTTGGACTAAATGTAGATTGTTTATTGAAAATGCAGGACATCCACCTAGCAGTGCATTACAATAGTCCAGTCTAGAGGTCATGAATGCATGAACAAGCTTTTCTGCATCAGAAACAGATAACATGTTTCATAGCTTGGCAGTGTTTCTAAGATGGAAGAATGCTGTTTTTGTAACATGGGAAATAGGATTTTCAAAAGACAAGTTGCTGTCTAATATAACACCCAGATTTTTGACTGTAGTGGAAGTAACAGTACATCCGTCTAGTTGCAAATTGTAATCCAAGAGATTCCGTGTACTGCTTTTTGGTCCAATAAGTAATATCTCTGTTTTATCCAAATTCAATAGGAGAAAATTATTGGTCATCCAATCTTTTACATTTTTAATACACTCTGTTAGATTATATAATTTAAAAGTTTCATCTGGTCTTGTTGTGATATATAGTTGAGTATCATCAGCATAACAATGGAAACTAATTCCATATTTTCTAATAATATTACCAAGGGGTAACATGTATATTGAAAATAGCAGAGGACCTAGGACAGATCCTTGTGGCACTCCATACTTTACTGGTGATAATTGAGATCACCGTTTAAATAAACAAAGTGGTAGCGATTGGACAGGTAGGATCTAAACCATCTTAAAGCCTGCCCTTGAATACCCGTATAGTTTTGTAATCGATCTATGAGTATGTCATGATCTATAGTGTCGAACGCAGCACTAAGATCAAGTAAAACTAGCAATGAGATGCAGCCTTGGTCTGACACAAGAAGCAAATAATTTGTAATTTTAACAAGTGCAGCTTTTGTGCTATGGTGGGGCCTATGAGTATAAGCAGCAAAATAAACTAGAGATACATTTCCTGTAAGGCTGAAAGATTGTATGGACTATGTATGTTAAGTAATTCAAACGGAATTAATTGTAGGAGTTTAATACGTAATGTTAGAGGTTTAGAACAAACCCTAAGCAGAATGATTGAGGAGTCAATCAATACAGTACTGCCTCTATTAAATGATTATACATGTAAGTGGTGAAAGAATGTGAGACAGATGTACTCATTTTAAAACGGCACTGCAGATGGATTGTGTGATTTCACAGAATCAAGTTTGAGAATTAGATCATGGCTCTAATAACGATCCCTAATTCTCTGTGACTCATGATGCAATGAGGACGGGACATCTTTTCACCAAAAAGGCCTCTGTAATGAAAGCACATCTCCTTCATTTATAGAGAGCAAGGGCACAAAGTGCATGCTGCCAGGGCTCAGAGAGTTTGTGGGTGTATGTTATTTCTGTAAACTGTCATTAACCGTGTGGCACTCTGTTGCCTCTATAGGGCACAACAGTCAGGAAGTAAAAATCACATTCATTTTCTCCATAGAGAAATCATGATGAAAAGATTTCAAGATGCTTACCTCCAGCTCCATGGTTTTTAATCGATGATATATCATGTATATAAAATATGATGTATAATCAAGGGCTTTAGGTCATTGTTTTTTATTATTGTAGTGTCTTTTTAGTATTCAGTTATATCATTTGAAATGTTTCATGGAATGAGATGAAAACTTCTATAAAGAAGACCATTATGCATTTGGCTCAGTAGTAAGTGATATTAAGTCTTTAGTGTGGACGGAGTCGCAGCTAAATATTCTGTTTTACTTGATATCCAACATTGCTTTCAGTGTAGTTCATCATCTTTAGTTTGTACAGTTTGTTAATGATCAGCAACTTTGTCTGTATATTTGAGGCGTTTTGCAAGTTCTTGCGTTAACCCTCATGTGACTCTGAGCTCTCTTTCTCTCTCTCTCTCTCTCTCTCTCTCTCTCTCGCCTGGAGACAGAGGAAGCAGATCAGAGGCCTATGCAGTGAAAACACTAATTAATATTAATTGTAATGAACTTTAGGGCTTTTTATATGCCATGTAATATGCATGCCTTATTAATGTGCTTATACAGTACCAGAGAGACTGAGCTGCTGGATTGTGGGAAATGTACTCCTTGAGAGAATGCCCCTGCAGACTCAACTGAGGATAATATACCTGTGGAAAGCAGAGAGTTCTCGCAGAATATGAGGAAATACATTAGAGATTAGAAAAAGTAGGACATTGTGAAGGTCTTCTGATAAAAAGCACCAAATCCAGATGTAGAGAGTAGAGCTGGTCTTGGTCCAGTGTAGCTAAAGAGGTAGTTCACCCAAACATGAAGTTGTGAACTCACCCTCATGACTTACTTTATTATGTTGAAAAACTACATTGGAACCCATTGACTTTCATTTTACTGTCAAAACATTGCAACATTTTTCTAAATATCTTCTTTGGTGATCCATAGAAAGAAGAATGTCTTACAGGTTTATAAAGACGTAAGGGTGAGAAAACTGGCAGAATTTTCATTTTTGGGTGAACTATCCTTTGGAACTCAGAGCTGGTAACTAAAAGATTGCTGATTTGATTCACCAGTGTGGAAGTCGCTGAAAGGAATAAACCGAAAATTCGTCTTTTGACACTAAATAGAGATTCTGACTTCTGATTATGCCTTTTTTGTTTAGGATGGGCGTCTACGTGTCAATGACCAGCTGATTGCCGTTAATGGTGAGACACTTTTGGGGAAGTCCAACCATGAGGCCATGGAGACCCTGCGGAGATCCATGTCCATGGAGGGGAACCTCAGAGAAATTATCCAGTTGGTTGTACTCCGTGCTCTAGCACCACCTACCCAAGTATGTACTTACCTCTAGAACACATTCATTTTGTCCTAGCACTCATCTATATTCTTCCTGCCTAAAACCAGCTTTGATGTTTACTGGTTTTGTATGTTCCTATCTGGTCCATGCTGGTTTTGGTGGTTGATCAGGTGGACTGGTGGGAGGGTAGAACAAATCAGTTGGTGGGGTAGAGCAGGGGTGTCAAACCCAGCTCCTGGAAGGCCACTCTTTCCTGCAGAATTTAGGTCCCATTCTAATTAAACACAACTGATCCAGCTAATCAAAGTCTTTGGGAGTGCTAGAAACTTCCAGGCAGGTATGTTGGAGTTGGTTGGAGCTAAATTCTACGGGACAGTGGCTGAGTTTGACACATATGTTGTAGTTTCTTTGCCAAGCTGGTGGGGAACTGGTTGACCTGGTTAACCATAACACACCATGAACTTTCAGTCTTTTTTAGCTCACAGGTGTTCAGCATATGCACAGTCATATTTTTTTCCATCAGGATGACTGATATTCTCCTTGACTGTTTACACAGCAGGCGAATGCATTTGTCAGTTTTGATTTAGAGTGGTAAATACACAATTATTTTATGAACAAGAGTGACAACTGCATTCTTTAACCAAACAACCAATTTTGAGGAATTATAACCACATTTTGAGAGTGAATTCGGATAATCTGTAATGTGTAAATGCAACAGCAGTGAACGACTAGTGTCGCATCATGCAGTGTTGCGATAATGTACGCTGTGGACATATATGGGTTATGATTTTTCAGGTATTTAAAGCTGATGTGGGTTAACTTTACCAATTGTGCTCAAGAGTTCAGGCCTCTCATGACAAAAAGTTTCCCAGTAACACTTTACAAAAAGGTTCATTAGTTAATATTAGTTAACTACTGAACTAAGCATGAACAATACTTCTACAGCATTTATTAATCTTAGCTAATGTTAATTTCAACATTTACTAATGCATTATTAAAATCAAAAGTTGTGCTTGTTAACATTAGTTAATGCACTGTGAATTAACATGAACTAACAATGAACGACTGTAGTTTCATGAACTAACATTAACAAAGATTAATAAATACTTTATTAAATGTATTGTTCATTATTTGTTCATGTTAGCTAATACTTTAACTAACATTAACTAATGGAACCTTATTGTAAAGTGTTACCAGTTTCCCAATATTTATTTATATATCTGTATATATACAGTATACGCATCTCGATGCATAGCCAACGATACGATACGTTGAAGAGACATATGTAGTAGCTAGCGATGCGATGCGATACGATTCACCCCTATTACGATGCAGTGCGATCCGATTTCGATTCGATCCGATTCAACACAATGCGATTTGATGCAATACGATGCAGTGGAAAAAATATGATCGCATTTATTTCTTTGGTTCAGACAGCAAATCATAAATTAACTTATGTGTCTTCTGACTTCTAACGCCTCGAGGCCTGTTTCATGAAACAAGTTTACCAAATAGGCCAGGCTTATTTCAGTTATAGTCTGACTCACTGTCAAATGATTTGGTTCCATAAAACAAATTTAGCAAAGATCAAAATCAGTCACTGTGGCAACTTATGCTGGAAAGCTAACCTGGTCCAGGGCAGGCAAACTGTCAGACTAAGCTGAGCTCCTCTAACACTGAACAATAGGAATGCAATGATATTACCACTGACTCTCTCTCACATACTATCATAGCCATGCAGTCTTTTTCTCTGGTTTTATGACAGCTGTACCTTTTATAGTTAGAACAGATAGCATTAGAATAACATGTTAGGTTATTTCAAGTAAAATTTTGGACTTTAATCCCCGCTTTTCCTCAGTTCTCTGTAGTGTTGTTGTGATACGTCATATTCACACGCAGCGGTGATGAGAGAACGCGCTTGAGAAACAGTTTAGAGAGGAGAAATCGATCTAACGTTACATATAAAATATTGGTCACAGATTATTGGTCACTTTCTAAACAATAAAAGTGTAGTCATCCACTAGTAATTATATATAAATAAATCGTTTTTTACCAATGCAAATATGTTAGAAATGATGCATCGCCATACAAATGTCAACTTGTATCCGATGCACACCTTTTAAACCGATGCATCGCATCGTACATTTTTTTTGCCGATGCATAGAGCGAATCTTTGAATCTTCCCATCCCTAATATATATATATATATACAGTATATATGTAGTTTTGATTGTGTGTATATATACTGTGTATATATATATATATATATATATGGATATAAACTCTTTATAAAAAAATATTATTATTAAAAAATATTATATTTTTGCCAACCCATTTGACCGATTCAATCAAAAGAGTTATTTATTCACACATCTGACATTTATAGTTTACATGCACAACATGATTGCTGAAAAATATCAGGGAAAATGATTCTTAGGTCGATGTATGGTAATCTCCAATGTCAAATAAGGGTTTATCAGTAATATTTTCTACAGTCACAGTGATTGCTGCTTTTATGTATGCTATTCATAGAAACATTGGCTTTTATTTTGGTTATTTATTCATTCAAACCGTATTCAAGCTTCTACTGTGAGCTTTTGTATGGACAGGACAATTTGAGAGTCAGACCTGTTAGTAAATATGAATGTCAAACCTAATCACTGACTTTTTGGCTAAGGTCAATGCTCTGCCTCTTTGTTCTATGAGTTTTCATGGCTATGTGGTAGATTATTTGTGAATTGAGAGTTAAGTGATGGATGTGGTTGTGCTTGTTCATTTTGGACTGATTCCTGTTTTTCCTGTTTCCTCTTTTTCTCCAGCATGTACATAGCATCAGAAGATCTTGCAGGGCCACAGTTTAACACATCCACAATAAAATTGAAATCTCTGTCACTCCAACTCACTGGCACATTGATACTCCCATGCTAATATCACTGGAAAGTAGTTCCAGTAATCCGAACAATTGTAATACGCCAGTCTAGACCAAAATCATACATGATTCTGTTTTTATGACTTGTTCTTGACGAGCGTTTGGCGGTTTAAGACCGGGTGCAGACAGATGCTTGCGATGCCAAACAAGTTGGTCAGAATAGCTGGTAATTGCCTTTAGTACTCCGCATCCTTTAACTTTCTCCATCATTTCCTCTGTGCTGGTGGAATTTGCCTCCAGCAGGATGTTTTAGCCTTTTCTCCTCCCCTGCACCTGGGTTCGAGAGCAGCCATATGCTCACCCCAGGATTCCCTCTATATCTCACACATGCACACACACATGTTGACACACTCCACCCCAAGGCCTCCAACTGCTCTAAAGTGGTGTGTAATTAGGCTACACAATGGTGCAGCCCCTCTGGCCGCATGGATTGATGGATGGATACTGGGGGCTCTTTGTGAGGACTGACAGGCTGGGAGGGGCGGCCACGGCCAGGCCAGGGTGTTATTGTTCTCATAAAATAAAGATTCATGTTCATTATGCTTTATGGGCTGTGGACGCCCCCGTCATGGCTGCCAATGGGGCGCAAAATGGAGTTAGGGCCGATCGGATGCCATTGACCTTCGAGTGTAGAGGTGGGATAAGATGCTAGTTGGTGGACGGATGAAAGGAGAAAAGCATAAATGGAGGGGGGACAGATTGCGACTTTGTATAGGTCCAGAGAGCTTGTCGCTGGGTTCGGATCAATAGATCATGCAAGCCAGATGCAGGAGAATGAAAGTTTGGTCCTGAGGTGAAACTAACGGTGAAATATTGCTCAGCATGCTTTTAGTACCACAAATAAGAGTTTTATCCTGTAATAAATGGGAGATTAGTTTCTACACCCACAAGGCACTAAGAGAATATAGTGTTGAAGCTTTTATTTCTTTATATTATGCTGTTTGTACTTAATGAATTTCAGCCTATTGTAGCGCTCTGATTCTTTCTAGCTCTAATAAATAAAGTCTAAAAAGTTATCTTCAGGCCTGGAGCCCGTTTTAATTCTTTGCAGACTTTCTTTTTTTTTGTAAGTCTGTTCTCCAGAGTCTCAGTGAGCTTCTGGGAATACACATGCTGATGTGTTCTTGCTTGAATCTGCTGTGTGTCCATGTCTCCTGACCTAACTTTGCTAATTATGGGCACTTTCTTAGACATCAAAGACCAGCTTCACACACATACTCTCAATCCCAGTCTAGTTTTGGCTAATTCTCTAAAAATCCATAAAAAAGGAGACAAACTGTTGAAGAGGAAGAAAGGAGTAGCAAAGCAAAGGAGATAAAAACCAGATTTTGCCTCCTTTGAAAGCTCTTGGAACAGTTTTTGAGACTTTCTTCTTAAAAAAAAATACCTAAAAGCTTTTTTGGACATGGCACCAGGTAGTGTTGGGTGATGTATTGAATATTCACCCTATATTCGAGACGATTGTGCTTACAGTTTAAAATTAAGCGACATGGTGAAAATAGCAATGAATTTAATGGGCTTTTTATTTGGCCATTAAATAGTTTTTGTGATCCCTCATGAGTATTGTGAACGGTAACACAGACATTTTAATAGCGTCTTTCATTTCAACTTCAGTTTCGTTGACTTGGCAAGTGCATTTGCATGTCTGTGAATCAGTTCAGTCTTTCTGTTTCAATGAAACGATTCAAAATTAGAAACAAAAGCATGTCAATGTAAAGCATGTCAATTTTTACTATATTTTTTTATGTTGGTGTGTATTGCGTATATATGTGTACATACATTTATTTGTAATATTTACTTAATATTTAATAATTAATATTTATTCTCTCTCTCTCTCTCTCTCTCTCTCTCTCTCTCTCTCTATATATATATATATATATATAGAGAGAGAGAGAGAGAGAGAGAGA